CGTTTTCAGTTGCAATGCGTTGATCTTCAGCGTTTTCTTCTAAAATCAAGGAAATGTGCTGATGACTGCAATCATAATTCTAAGAAGCAATAATGATGATAATCTACGGTGCCATTTGACTAACAATTTTGCGTCATGACTCTTTAATGGAACAACTTCACTATCATCCAACGAATACACAGATTTCACAAGATTTCGAGAAATTTGAAGGAACTATTGTGCGCTTACAAACTTCTTTAACTTGCTTCACATATAGAACAAGCACAAATTTGACTGATATCGTAAATTTCTTACCTGAGAGCACAAGGGACTAGCAAAAATGCTTCATAATTAAAACATCATTTGGAGTACCTTGACAGTAAAATTTTAGAAAAAGATGTTGTGTTGCTACTTATTATTAGACTCACTACCGTCAGACTTCTGTCATTTTTACGCCCGGTAGAAATTCTGGGCCCCGATTCTTTCTGATACAAATATTCGATGAGGTAAATTGCTGACCAGGTATCCATTACTTATGAATTAGTAAAAAAAAAAGGGTGAGAAATGCCGAAAGACGATGCAAGATGCAAATCCATTTCATTTTCACCAATTTTTTGGCCATAAGAAGAGGATCCTGCCCTAATTTTGCCTAAGTAAAAAGTGCGCAGGAAATGTTCAGTATTTCTTTACAAGATTTGCGCGTTTGCTATCATAAAAGAATGGAATACATCCGAGTAGTCAGAGTATTAAGAAAGTACTGCATTATGCGAGCTTATAACAAATTGTTTTCGTTCTGTTCGTTTTTTCGTCTCATGTTCTGCTGTTACCATCTTTCAGTCGCACTTCTCTTTCTGTTGAGCATGTATTCCCTCCTTGATAGGATCGCATCCCTCTTGCAACAATCATCCCCACAAACACATATGTGGAAACATCGAGAAGTCTTGATTCAAGCCTGCTCGATAATCGTTTTTTTTTGATTTTTGGCGTAAATACTATGTGAGAGAAGTGGATATACATATCTGATGTATGACAAACATACCGCCTCGCTGATCTGAAGTAAATCATATTTATTCTATCATGTTCTTCCAGATGAAAGTCCGCTAGTTTCACAGGAATCTAGTCTTCTATGCCAGATTATTTAATAGCAAAGATCTGAAATGCACTGTCCATTATGAAGTGAGTGCAACCGACTTTCTGTAGAGTTAAAGATAGTATGGGTACGATTTGTACGCAATGGGTCCTTTAGCTTGAGCTTGAAGGTTTTTTTGTAGAGAAATGTCATTATACGATAATTGCATCAACTTTTGTTTGAAACCTCCATGATGGTTGAACTGCTATTGTCCAACATCAACAACTGATGATTCGGAACTTGATGCTTTTTATGAGGATTTGGAGGAAGTCATCCGCAAAGAAAACTCCTTCGATAGGTTCGTCGTGGGTGACTTCAATGCGAAATCGGGATGCCAGAAGAAGGGGAGTACAGGATGGGAGATTTGGATCAGGCCGGAGAATGGTAACCGTCTTGTTGGGCTCTTATCCACCACACGACTTTTCCATGGCAACTCTGTTTTTATGAAGAAAGAACACCGGCGGTGGACATGGGAGTCACCCAACGGTACGACTCATGTGGAGATCGACTACATTCTCACCAACCGAAGGTGGTGCTTATTGGACGTCTCAGTGGTAACATCCTTCAGTAATGGCTCAGATCACCGCCTCCTTAAAGTGCGATTTACCCGAAAAGTGGAAAACAAGGTCTGCCACCCTGTTGGAGGAAAGAGAGAAGTCGTATATGAAAACGCGAGATTGGAGGAGCTCCTGACCACTTATAACTGGCCTCGAGGAGGACCCAACGAACGACTGCGACCTGCTTCTTAGAGGACTGAGAGCCTGTGGTGAAAGTGCTTAAATACCTCCCACAAGGAACTTGAAACGGATTTCGAAGGCCACCAAGGCTAGAGATTAGAAGAGCACTGAGGTTGGATCCGACTGCATCACAGCTCGAGCAACTGGTAGCCAATAGCAGTTGCAGAACAGCTTTGCAAGAAGATTTTCGAAAGTACAGGCAATCGAAACTTTTGGAAGCAGCACAAGGAAGGAGAATTCTAAAGAAGTATCACAGGGACCTTTCGTGTTCCGCTGACAACATTACTAAACGACGGGACTCGCACATCTTCCCGACAAAAAATGGAATCGATCACGAGAATATTCTACAACAATCTCTTTCGCTCGTCAACACCCGTGTCAAACCCCGCTATTCCCAGTGGAGAAATACCATGAATTCTACCTGCTGAAGTGAAGAAAGCGCCGCAATCCAGACCATGAAGGCAGCCACGGCTCCCGGACCGGACCATGTTTCGGCCGACCTCTTACGAGCTGGAGGACATCGCATACACCAGATACTTGCGTCTGCGAACACTACGTCCTACCTCCAAAAGGAAAGGATCTTTGACCAGTGGAGAACCTCTCGAACAATCCTTCTTCATAAGAAGGGCGATAGGGAGGATCTTCGCGACTACCGTCCAATATGCCTGCTGAGCGTGCTTTACAAGTTCTTCACAAAGATCATTCTCACTCGCATATTAAGGACACCGGATGAATCCCAACCTGTAGAACAGGCTGATTCGCAAGGGATTCAGCTGCATGTATCACATCCAGACATTTTCGAGGATTATCGAGGATTGCCGAGAGTACCGCCTACCTCTCGTCCTAACCTTCGTTGACCATGTGAAAGCGTTTGAGAGCGTCGAGACTAATGTCATACTGTCAGCGCTCGTCGACCAAGCGGTGGACCCATCTCACGTGAGGACATTGGCCGACTGCTACAGGAACTGCTCTACAACGGTACAGCTTCATCGCCACCTTAACGTACCAATTTCGAAGGGGGTTCGGCAAGGCGACACCGTGGCGCCAAAGCTGTTTATTGCCGCATTGCAGTGGATGATGAAATCACTGGATTGGAAGGAGAGAGGTATACGAGTTGATGAGAGATTCCTTTCCAACATTCGTTTTGGTTTTGACGACATGGTTCTCTTCTCGAGAAATATCACTGATGTTGAAGGAACTAAACGAAGTAGGGAAGCAGAGGACTGCGAGTCAACCGGAATAAGACTCAGTAGGAACGCTTTTTGCGAGGATGAAAGGAAATTAGAAGGCTCTCC